TTGACTTTGTCAATAACCTCAACATTGGAAGACAACAGTAAACATTTCTAGACACTATATTCCTTCTGTCTTTGTTTCCATCTATACACACATGTGAGAGGGTATAAATATGCCTTTCAGTAACTATATGAAAGTTGAATGTATATGGTCATCTTTTATCATTGCTAGACTTAAGTATTATGGTGTTAGGTCCATAGGTACTTGAATTTACTTATATTGATGTTTGATACATGTTACCTGTAGTATTATTATTTGAATAAAACTAAAACAAATTTTAAGTTTGCATGTGCCACTTCATTTGCAGAATGATTTTATAAAGGAATGGTTTACTTATGCATCTTGATTAAAACATAAATAAGGAAATACTTTACAATCCTCATATAAATAGCAAATGAATTTAGCAAAAGTTATGAAAAGAGACTAAGAAGAATATATCATTGGTCAGTATATTATGAAATATATTTAACTGAGTATATTTAGCAAAATCATTCACTAACACATTTCTTACTTGGTTCCTCATTTTTTCAAAGGAAGTAATACTTTATTTGTCCTCTATTTTTTAAATATACTCACAGAGAATCCCTCCTGAGATGACAAAGATTTTCTGTACTTGTTGTTGGTGCTAAATAACTTGTAGGTCACATTTATTCTCACCTAGAGACTGTTGTGATGTAAATCTCCTAAGCTTCTGCTTTTCGCACTTTGTGTTGTTCAAACATAATTGATTAGACTACTAGATTCCATTTTCCCCTGAGTGTGGTGGTGCAACAACTTTAGCAGAGGCAGAACTTTTAATGACTTGCCTTTGTCAACATATTGATCAATTTTAAAACTGAGGAAAATTTAACACTATGCTTCTTAGACATCGTGAGTCACACTCTCATGAAACCAGACATCGAATAAAATTTAAATACAGTTTTAAGTTTTACATTTTAAAAATGTACTAGTACATGTTTGCAGTCTATAACTAATGCATTGAATAACATGACCTACATATAAAATACACATTTTTATATAATATATTAGTGTCACAGTATATACATATATATATACAGTTCCAGAGGATGGAAGTGCAAATGCAAGGCACAAATAGAATCATTATGCAGAGACCGCCTGTCTTCTGGTACACAGATACCCAAATATTCAGACTTTACATGGCAGAATCAGCCAGGAAAACCCGGAAGCTCTGTCTCATAAAGGCAACCATGCAATCTCTGATAGTTCTGCCCATATAAACTCCACACTTTCCAAAAGCCTCACATACTAATGTCAGTTTTTTTTATTAATGCCAAGATTTTGAGGTTAGGATCTCAGCATGAGCAAAAACAACCAGAGTGGAGAAGAAAGCACTGCCAACAAGGCAGAGACAGGAGGAGCAGGTCTGTTTTTCACATTCCAAACATCCGCAGACTCCAGCGAGCCAAGGTTCACTAGGCCAGCCTGCCTGGATAATCCCAGGGAGCAGAAAGTCCTGATTTTATGATGTCATTTTCTGGAAGAAGAGCACCAGTCCACCAAGAAGTGTCTTCTGCCCTTGTTCCCCGCAGTCCCACTGCCCAAGCTGCTCTCATTATAGCTGCAGCTGCTTCGGACACCGGGTTCCCCCTCACAGAGGTATTTTCCCTAAGCACAGCAGACCTGAATATGGACCAAACACACAAAGTTTATTAAGACTGATTTGCAAGCTTGAATAAGAGGCCTGGATCTGAAACAACTGTTACTATTTAGTGTGCTTGAATTTGGAGCAATACACAAGATTGACTGTGAAGCAATCACAGGTCTGCTGCTGCTATATATGAAGTGATTGAAAAGTAGTGCTTAAATTTGAAAATACCTACTACAGTAAAAACATATTGTTATCAGTCCTCCTTGTACTCCTCCTCACTTCAAATGCACTGATCCCATGGTTTGTGCCCCTTCGGTAGCAGTTCTGGAAGTCGTTTTTTTGTTTATTTGTTCATTTTCTATCTTTAATTATATTCTCTTGTTGGCCTTCATATCTTGAATCAATTCAGTATTTACCTTTCATGATCGTCTTAACTTTGGAAGAGTCAGAAGTCCCATGGTGCTTTGGGTGAGGGCGCATAGTAATGGTTCATTAAACTTGTCATTCTATTGGATGGCACGTGGGAGCAGCATTCACTAAATTTTTTATCACAGCTCACAAAGACACTTATGAAAGAGGACTTCCTGAACTGCTTCAGAAAGTAGCAAGAGTGATGGGGTGTTTTCAAAGGAAGAGTATTTGGAGAGGGATTCATGACAGTGTGTATCTTACTGTAATAAGGTTATTTTTTAACTTAAAGCAATCATTTCATATCTTAATCATTCCTCATAAACAGCAATCCTCTCTAGTGGCCTGGGAAAGTTTCCTCTTGTACACTGACCCCCTCTGTTCATCACAGACCTTATTCAAATAAAGCCTTGACCCATTGGTCTGGTACATCTACTTGTAATTTATTTCTCCCTGAAAGCCTGTAAATCTACTCAGCGTACTGGGTAAAGTACACAGAATGGATCTCATAAGGGGGTAAGGGAGAGTGGCCTTTAACATGAGGGCTTTCTAGCTCTAAAGCAAGAAAGACACTTTATATTCCTTCTGTGTGGAGAAGGTCTCCAGACCATTCCACTGGTCTGGAGACCAGTGACCAAAGTCAGTGAGGATGGTGGATGGTGTTCATTGGTGGAGAATGGCCGTGTGTGTCAGCTGCAGTACCCAGCCGTGGCAACTGGTGCGGACAGTCACTGGCCATATTTGAGTGCCTGCCGTGGCAGTAAATGGTGGGTAGCACCAACCAGGGGTTACCAGCGTTAACTGATGTCAACATCATTCAGCAGTCAACCAGCAAGGACATTCAGCAGTCAGCAGCGACAGTAGTCCAGAAATTAGAGCACTGACGCTGAGAGCTAAAGGATACAGGTACTTAGAGAACAGAAGCTTGAAGGCTATGAGCAGTCAAAACTCAGAGCCTGTATCACAGCTGCATTTTGCTGATTCATTGTTTCTATTCAAATTGAGCAAAAGAACCCTGGGTGGGTCGCTGACACATCAACCCACAATTTAATTGAACTTTATATTTTAAACTGTTTTCTGTCATGCTGCTGCTCATGAAAACCATGAACAAAAGGGCATATGTAAATTTAGAGTATGTAGCAGTGGAAGTCTAAAATGTGTTCTCCAAAAGAAGTATTTTCCCCATACGATTTTTGTGTCTTCACAGTTTCCTAAAACCTGTAACTGCGTCTTACAAATGCCACTGTGAAAAGCATCAGAGATTCTGAAACTCAGTTTTCTTTATGCAATGCTTTCACACAAGGATATTTTGTAATTACAAACACTGAAGCAAAGGTTTTCAGTGCCTTACCTTGTACAGTTTTAATAGATAATGAACAACTACATAGAATGTTGTATAATTGTTCAAATATGTGATAATAATACTATGTTCCCAGCAAGGTTCTTCTTGTGTTTTTCCCTTGCAAATTTAAGTACACCAGATGGATTAACTAAATATTGATTAGGTATTAGATGAATGTTCTTTAATTTGTACATCTTTGTAGACTGACTACTTTAGAATCCAAAATTACATTTGAAATATGGGTCATAGACTGAGTTAATTGTTATTGACTATTCAATAAGCCCTCAAAACTTTCATACAAGATTGATTTCAATTACATATTTGCTTTTTCAACTTGTGCTAGAATGAAATTCAATAAAGTCTGTTTCCATCAAAGAATGTTCATAATGTTTTATTAGAGGTGATGCTTTAACACAGTTCTAGGTAGAATAATTCTTTGAGAGTCTTACTTATGAATCACAAAGCTGGAAATTAAACTAAGATATATGATCAATAAAAGTGTACAAAGAGCTAAGTAGAAATCACTCTGTTGAGAATTTTAGAGAAGACTTTACAAGAACCCTACACTTTACACTGTGTTTTGTTTAATTTTGAATAGTTATGAATTTGCTCAATTTTATGGGTATAAAATGAAATGAACCATCATATATACATTGTGTAATGATAAAATCAGGGTAATTAGAAAATACATTCTTTTAAATATTTACCATTTCTTCATGTTGGGAGAATAAAAAATTATTTCTTCTATTTATATAAAAACAAACAATAAAGATTTGCTATACTCATCTCAACATTCAGCACAACTATTTCATCCTAGGAAACACAACTCAATAAATAATGAAAGAAAATACCCCCCCCAAACTGATGCTAGTATGAACAGAAAGGGTACAAAAAGTCCAAATAGATACTTCTCACAACACCACATTTAAATTGTACAAAAGTACATAAACAAATTTTCAACATAGTATTCATTAGAGGAATCTAGTCTCCTCTGTGTTCTTTGCAGCTTGGATTTCCTTTCATTCTCAGGGTATTTTTCTGACCATACCAGGGTTCCTACTTTTCAAGTTCCTACTTTTGTTATCTCCATTATATGTCTATTTATTGCTAATATATGAAACTAAGCATCCCCTTTTAGAAGAATTTTTCCTCCTGTACAGACCAGACTTAGGGTACATAGCATACTCCTCATTTACTACATGCCAATTCATACTTCACTATCTAGTATTTGTATGTTTAGCTATTTAAAGTTTCTGATTTCCAATACACTGTGGGGCTCAATAGCATAGTGCTCATTTCACCATGAATGGAATGTACACACAGGTACAAATACCACTTACTAAACACTCAATAAATCTTAGGATCAAATCAGTGCCTACAATACACATCAAACAAATGACATCTGTACTCATTAAAACAAAGACTGACAAATTTTCCAAAAATAAATATCATTCTGCCTTTGGAAGACATATAATAAATGATAAAATATTTGGGAAATCAAAAAAATATTTGTATATTGGAGATGAAAAAGATATTATTAAGTTCAGTGAAGGTATATGACCACACTATAGGTATAAATATAAGGTGAAGAAACCAAAACTATAGTGTATCTATACAAACATATTAATGGGTAGTATATACTAATTAGCCTAAGACAAAATTTTTTTTTAATCTTTTTGTGGCCTCTTTCACATCCTGATTCCGTAGACTATAAACCAGAGGGTTCAGCATGGGAATCACCAGGCTGTAAAACAGTGAGGTCACTTTGTCCTGATGGAGGTCGTAGGCAGAACTGGGACGGAAGTACATGAAGAGCATGGTTCCCTGGAAGATGGTGACGGCAGTGAGGTGGGAGGCGCAGGTGGAGAAGGCTTTAAACTTCCCCTCAGCAGAGCGGATCTTTATGACTGACAAGATAATATAAAAATAAGAGACCAAAATCCCTGAGATGGTGCTCAGTTCTATAAAACCAAAAATGGTGAATATCAATAACTCATTGATCTGTGTATCAGAGCAAGATATTACTAGGATAGGAAGAACATCGCAGAAGAAATGATTGATCTCCCTAGAACCACAGAAACATAAGTGGAATGCCAACGATGTATGGATCAAAGCATCTACTATCCCCAAGGTGTAAATTGTAGCCACAAGTACAGAGCACACCCTGCTCGACATGTCCACTGCATAGAGCAAGGGGTTGCTGATGGCCTTGTAGCGATCAAAAGCCATCACTGCCAGCAGCAGGCACTCAACGTCTATAAACATGTAGAAGAAGAAAAGCTGTAAAGCACAGCCAACAAAAGGAATTGATCTGTTGTTGGTGAGTAGATCCAGTAGCATCTTGGGGCCAACTGCACTGGAATAACAGAGGTCAGCGAAGGAGAGGTGACTAAGGAAATAGTACATGGGTGTGTGCAGCTGGGAGTCCACTCTGATGAGAGTGATCATACCAAGATTTGCCAGGACATTAATGAGATACACAATTAAAAATGTGACAAAGAGAGACATTTTGATTTCCGGACTATTTGTTATCCCTAATAGAAAGAAGTCAGTCAATGAGGAGCAGTTTTCTTTGTCCATTCTTCTTTATTCTTATTCTAAGTTGTGAGAAAAACAAACAGAAAATAGGTTAGGTTTTTATATTTCTATCTATACAAATATAGTATTTATGAAATGGGATGTGAATTGTATCTGTCAGAAACAAGTGGCAGTCTAAAGAGGCCATATCGTGTAAAAAAGAAATTAAAATTATCTAGGAATGGGGGTTGATAAAAAGTTATTTCATGCATGATTCTTGCTTGCCTTTTTGCATCATTCCTCTCAGGTGCTAGATTTGAATATACTAAAAGTTATTTCCAGATCCAAATCATACGAAATGAGCACCACAATTAGAAAGACAAGCCATGACATGAAAGACTAAACATCTTCTGTGATGCCAGAATGATCCTATGTATTACAGAACTTAAGAAACTTTACTAAATATTGTCACTGAACCCCATTGAATATTAATTTATGAGTGAAAATTACTATGACACTGTCCAGTGTCCTTAGATTTCACAGAAAAGTAAAACGTTCAGTTGCACTAGTCTTTTTCTTACCATCAGCGTCTTACCAGAACCTTACAGTACTTCCGTGTAACTGAGCTGGTTCCCCAGGACCAATACCTGGAGATGCCAAAAGCAACGAGTAAAAAGAAGTGGAAACAACAGGCTGCAGCCTACATCTATGCTGATTGTTGGGTTTGAAACTGAATTTTTCACAAACATTGTCATGAGGAGAGAAACAGTAACTGTCTGGTATATAGGCTTCAGTTTTGCAAGTTTGTAGATGCATTTCTGTGTGTACATGGCATGGTGTCTGTGTGCCTCTCTCTACTGATATGTGAAATATGGGTGGTCATCTTTCTTCTAGATTAACAATTACAGCATGTGGTCTATATGGACTTGAGTTTATATATACTAATGCATATAATATATTACCTGTGTTATTTTAATTCAATAAAGCAAGAATAAATTTTATATTTACATGAAACATATTACTTGCAGGAAGATATTGAAAAGGAATCATTTATTTAAGAATCATAATTAATGAATGATTGTTCAAACCATTAGAGGATAAGAAAATAATTATTAGATAAAACATTAGAGATAATACAGAGTTTCACTACACAAGATTGTGAGAGTTCAGCATTGTAATTCCATTGCATATTGTTACCTTCAAATCAGCTGCCCAGATTACCAGACACAAACATGCAAAATTGATCAGAACATAAAAAATTTGGAGCATTAACTATTCCTTTCAATATACCGTCAGACAATCTTCCATTCGTACATCTGGTAATCTGAGCAACATAGTTGAGGATAGTGATATATAATATAACAACCACTGCTAATTCGTATTATTTTGTCTTGAAACCCTGTGTCACTTTAAATGTTCTTGCTTTGTTTTATGTTTGTGATACTGGTATGCTCCTATTATTCTATTTTTTTTTGTTTGTTTGTGTCTCATTTACTACTGTCTTTAAGTTAAAAAAATACTCAAAGAAAGAATCACGATTAAAATATAGGTAAATAAAAATTTTCAATCCTTATACAAATGACTAATAAAGTCAATTTCACATAAGTCTGTTAAGAAAATATCATTACCCATTAGATTATAGAAATGTTTTATTGAGTAAGCAGGTATAAAATAATTTACTAACTCACATCTCAGGTTTAATTCCTCACCTTTTCCAAAAGAGTGATGTTTTACTTTTCCTGTATTATTTCAATATACCCACTGAAAAACGTACCTGAATTGACAAAGACATTCTGAAGTTACTGCTGCTGCCTGAACCATACACAAATCGTATTTATATTCACCCAGTGCCTATGGGGAAATCAATCTCATACGTCTCTGCCTTCTGTGTATCCTGTAATGCAGGCATAATTAATTTACATTCCTTGTTCAGTTCCAACTGGGAATCCTGCAACAACTGCAGCAAAGTTTGAACTCCTCATTCTTCATTTGTCACCAAATTGATCACTGTCAAAAACTTCACCAGGTCCTGAAACATGCCCTCTGCTAGTGACACTAGACAGCTAGTGAAGCTGAAATACTCCTCTTCTTAATGACTTCTGTATCCTTTGTTTTTTCTATCATATTCCCTCCTTTTTAAAAAACTACCCTTTCACAGCCCATTTAGAAGTGAGAAATACAGCCAGAAAATTGTTTCATTAATCATTGTCCAATTTGTCTCCCCCAACTTCATTCCACCCACATTGATTTCAATTATGTTACTCTATACACTACATTGCTTTAATTTCAATTATGTTACTCTATACACTCCATTACACCTACATTGCTCTTTCTGATACGTTTTCCTTAACATCATATATGTACACTTCTACATTCACACAAACCCTGGAACACAGATTTAAAATAGCAATGTAACGATAAATATGTGCTGTATGCATGTGTTAAATATATTCAGGCTGTTAACCTGGGAGATACTTAGTAAAAAGTACAAAGAAAGAAACAACATTCTATCTATGTCATACTAATATACTTCCTATGTATAAAAATGATCAGTTATTGAAAAACATATTTTGGTATACTGTTTTCAAGCAGAAAGCCAATTCTGTGTATTTTAAAAGTATGTTTTGTGTACTGATATTTGAGAAGTACAGAAAATGTGAATATTCTTTCTACCCCAAGCTTCATCCTGAAGCTCTATAATGGTCCACACTATCTCAGAATTCTTCCTCCATCTCTATCTCCAGTTTCATTGGACCTCTTCTTTGGCTCAGAGAAATAAGCCCCATATTTACATTTTTCTGTCCATAAATATTTCTCTATCATCCATTCCATCATTGTGGTTTTTTAACTTCTTTTCATTCTGCTATGGAAGTTTTGAATTTCAATATAAATCATTGTGCTTGCCTTACATAATGCTACATGTTTTTATATACATATTAGTTAGCTTCTCCATACATATCTAGCATATATTTCAAACATTTCTATCTCTCACAGTCTCAATATACTAGGAAGAAATAGGAGCTTTGAAAGTAATCAGCAAACTTCCAGGCTGCCATAGACATCATATTTGACTCTAAAGTACTTGCTATCCAGAGGTTTCTAACCAGTGTATAATGACAAAAAAAAAAAAAAAACAAAAACAAACAAACAAAAAAAAAAAACTGCCACTCTGGAAGAGAAAATAGCTCTCTTGGATGCTGTCATAAAATATTATAGCACTGTGTAAAATTCATGGAAATAAGAATCTCATCTTGTTGTTTTTGAAGAATGAAGAGTTGGCTCAAGTTCCAAATATTTCCCCCAGGCGGATTTCCCCAAGGAGTGAGCACAGAAAGAGCAGCAGCAATGAAGGCTGCCAGACTGAGACAAAATCTGCTTATTTATTTTACCTGGAGACATCAGTGTTATCCTTCATTTGTAAAAGTGTCGGCTATATGATGTGAAGAAACAATAGATAATAAATAAAAGGCCAATGCTACCCAACATAGTCACCAGGGGAGAAACCCCAGTATTGGCCACGTTCTGAGTAATACTTTATGATGTAGAAATCGTTTTAGGACACATGATTTTCTACGTGTTTACCAAAGCCTTCTGGTGACTATAAGACACGATACTATATCCCGTTCTATTTGTCTTAATGCAGTTAATTTACTTCAAAACAAGTAAATGAAAAATTGTGCATACAAAAAATACTATAAGAGTTTATAGGCTTGGGACATGTGTTCACCCAAATAATCTGGGTGAGTCCAATCTCTTCTGAAAACAATCTCAAACCAATGTGGTCTACTCTCAAAGGTACAGTTGTTCTTCACAATTCCAATAAAGATTGATAATTCCCCAGGCTAAAATCTGTGAAATATTCTTGGTTAGGGGAAAGGGGTTCCTTAGCGATATAGTTTAGTGCCCTTTCATATTTCATTGTCATTTATTGAGTGACTGTACTGATCATAAATACAGAAAATTATTGATATATAAGATATTGAGGCAAGCCAATTTTAAGTAATTTTAATAATGATTCAAGTGTGAAGCTGAAGACACGGAGACTGTGTGCTCCCCAAGAGCTCTGCTGCCATATTCCTCTTCTCCAGTGTATATTTGGGGGAATGGGAATTAGCATTGGTCCACACTCATTTTCCCATTCAATCACTCCCCATCTCCAAGGATGACAAGTCACTTTAGGTTGCAGTTTGCTTAAATGGCACCTAAATTTGGGAGATATCAGTCAAAATAATTTGAATTTTATGTATTACAGTGCAACACTTGCAGAAGACTGTCTACATAACTGTCTCATTTTAAAATTACTTCAAATTCTCTTCCACTCCTCATTCAATAGGATACAAATCAGAGGTTCCAGCCTGGGAGTCCCAATGGCATAGAACAATGAGGCCATTTATGCCTTGAGATAAAGATTAGGAAGAATGAACCAGAAACACACAAAGAGCAGAGTGCCCTGGAGAACTGAGACTATACTTAATAGGTAAGTGCAAGTAAAACTTAGATCTTCCATCAGCAGAGTAGGTCTTTATCACTGCCAGGGTGACAAGACAGAAAATGTCCTGACAGAGTAATCAGTATAATGGAACCAGCAATGGTGAATACCATAAAAATGATTAGTCTCCTTGGATCCACAGAAATATAAGCAGAATACCAATATTTTATTTATAATAGCATCTATCATCTCCACAGGTGAACTCCAGCCAGGATTTTGGAGCACAGCCTACTTGACATGTGAGCTGTACAGAGCAAGATGTTGCTGATTGCCGCATCTAGGGCAGCTCTCGAAGTTCCCAGGGAGAAGGATGGTGAGAGGATGGAGAAATAAAGAGAAGAGACAATATACCCTCCCCATCTCCAAGGATGACAAGTCACTTTAGGTTGCAGTTTGCTTAAATGGCACCTAAATTTGGGAGATATCAGTCAAAATAATTTGAAGGTCAAGTAGAGTCCTCTCTCTGGATGGGAGGAAACGGAACTGCTCAACCACCAGAGAGCATTTGTGTGTACATTTGGCAGGTTGATGAGTTACAGCCTTTGCTTGACCAAGTTCCTTGGGGTATTTTCTT